CCCCCCTCTCCTTTTCCTCCCCACGGTAACATCTCCGCCGCAGAAGTGAACCGTGAAATAAGCGAGCAGTAGTAAAATGTTTGTGTTTATGCTCTCAAAAGAGGAAGCGGGCTACAACCTTCAATGCCTTGAAAGGCTATCGGTAAGATACAAGATAAAGGTCTTTGGTCAGTTTAGGCTATATTACAATGGTAATTTCCCAGAGTCAAAGGTCTTCAGCAACGATCGATTGCTTAGAAGTCATTTTCTCTTTATATAACTGCCTTTCACCGCTTGCTACTCTACGGCTACGCTACGCTTCTAGCCACTTAAGAGGCCCTTTTCTGCTATACTAGACCTTCTTGATATTGCACGAGGATTATACTAACAATCGATCAAAGCTACAAGCACTTATAAACACTCTCTTTACTTAAATAACTACGACTCTTCAAGCGAATACTCTTCGTCTTTTAATACGATAAGCAACTTATTAAACAATTACCTTTTTATTATAAAAACCTTATCACTCTTTTTAAACTATCGAGTCTTAAAGTCACTTGAACGACTAATTATAATAGCTTTTAGCGCTAAAGAAGCGACGGAATTAAAGATTTTATTAAACAAAGCTATAGCAGACGAACAAAGAGCGGAAGAGCTTTATTAGATCACTTTAACTAGAGCTTCCGCTCTTCTCGCTATTTTTATTACGGTAGAAATTACCGCGGACGATAACGAAGGCAAGTTAACCGAAGTAGTTAAAGCTATACTCTTTCGTTTTGATACTATCGATCGGTCGTATTTAATTTAGATCTTCTTCGGCAAATTCAAGCCTGTGAACTTGTTTAAACTAACTTTTAAAGCTTCTATTAAGTACGAAGAAAAAGAGGTAATTGACTTAAAAGAGAATAAGGTCAAAAAGCAAAAACTAGCTAAGAAACTAAAGGATTTCGGCAATACCTTTTTAATCTAGTCTAAAAGGTTTTTTAAGTTCTCGGATATCGATTCTAGCTTTTATAAGGTTGAGTTTCTTAACGTACGGTACGCTTAATCGGACTTCTATAATGAAGTTTTGCAGCTAGTATACATATACGATTAGATTAAAGCCGTACTTCTTATAGCAATGTATGGTGACAGATAGCGTATACCTAGGTAGGTGGAGCAGATCAAGGTCTAAGAGATGGCGATAAAAGTGTCTGATCTATTCAAGGGAGCACGGGAGCAACTGTAGATATGTACATGTATGGTACGTGGCCTTTAAGGAGCTTGGCAGCACGTGAGGAGCACGTGGGGCAAGGACCACACTGTGCAACACAATGTCTTATTATACGAAGCTCATTAATACGAACTCCTTTTATATTGCTTTTAAGTGAGAACTTCTTAAGAGATTCATCATGTCGTTTTATAAGAGCTACGTCCGCATAAGCTTATAGCTCTCTTTTCGATCTTTTATTGTTAATAATCAAAAAGAAAGATATAGAAGTACTCGAGGTAGTAATAGACTAAGTCTTAAGCTTTTCGACCCGGTTATAAACAACCCGTTTGTAGCTTGTGAAAACGATAGCAAACCTTAAGGTTGCAAAAACCTTAAGTGCAAAAGATCTTACAAGTCTTAAAGAGAGACTACGATTAAAAAATAAAGTTTTAAAGCAAAAGATTAAAAGATTACGTTAGCAATAGAAAGTCAAAGAACAGTTAGTTTAACTTTAGCTAATTTCATACAACGTTTCTTTTGCGTTCTTGCTTTTATTCGTTTAAATACTCTTTTTAAATACTTGATCTACGATTCTTTTATGCTCTTTTTAATCAAATCCCTTTCTTTTTTCGTACTTGAAGCTTAAAACGAGCTTTTAAAACCTTGCTTAAAAGCCTTACGATATTACGTAATCTTTATCTTACGCTACAGCGCTTTATTAAGCTATACGGGTCTACGAGACATTTAAATACTCGCTTTTAATTACAATTCGATAAAAGAAAAAGACGCTTTCGCTATTTTCGCAAAACGAATTAAAGACGATCTTTAAAAACTACGAGTCGAGAAGTGTAGCAATACTCTTCTCTTTATTTGCTTTTTTTAAGGCTTCCACTTAAAATCCGATAGTAGCTTACGTTAAATTACCGACCTTTCTTCTTTTCTTAAGACTTTAATCAACGACGATATACCTTTCGAATTCGGAACTTTTAAATACATTAAGATCAAAGAGATCTTACAATCGATAGTTCAAGCTGGCCGAAGAGCTTTTATAATAAAAAAAGACATAGCCGACGCTTTTCGCAATATACTTATAGCTTTTAATGATTAGTAGTTATTAAAGTACGAATTTTTAAGCTAATATTATAAACACCGCTGCTTTCTTTTCGGTCTTAAGACGTTCCTTTTCTTCTTTAACCTTTTTAAAAAAAGATTCTATTAGATATTGATCTTTTATTTTGATTAAAAGCGCTTTTTCTACTATTTAAATGACTTTATTTAAGTGTTTAGCGCAGCAGAAGCTATTTTTAATAAGCTCGTAAGATTTATTATTTGCTACGATAAGTTATGCTTGCTTTTAAGAGTTTTAAAAAAGGATTTAAAGAACGAGCAAAGAACCGAGATCGCTATACTTAGCTATTAAGTGAACTCTAACACTTTTTACTTAAGCTTATTATTAAAAAAACTAAAAAAAGCATTGCGCTTGACCTTTAGTTTCTTAGCCTATTATTTTATTACATTAAAAGCAGCTCGCGAGCTCTTTAGCTTTTTATTTTAATATGCTTTTGCGGTATAATTAAATTAAGTATTTTGCAAGCAATTATAGTTCTTTATCGCTACTTTTTTATTAAATACTTCTTTCTTTTTGAAATCAAGAATCCTTTTTACTATTCGTGCTAATATCGTATAATAAAACACTTTAATAACAAACTTTAATAGCGTTACTTTTTTTTACGAATCACGAATTTAAAACTTCTTTTATACCGACGCATATAGTTTCGGCTTAAAAAGATTCTATTTCTTATACCTTTTCGAAATCCTTTAAAAACATATTATTAACAAGATCACTTTTAATACTACTTTTGCTTTTCAAACCTTTTTTAACGTTAAAACTCTATTCGATATTAATATTTACGAAATGAAAGCGGTCTTAACTGTATTAAAGTTATAAAGAACTAAATGGATTAGTTAATATCTATTAATTTATATCGACAACTTTATCACTTTCTTAAGCTTTTAAAAACAATCTTTAGCTAGCCTTGCTAACGTTAACTTCCGAATATTAATTTTACTCGCTATAAAACACAACATTAAGCTAAAAGCAAAATAGATTCTTAAAAAAGAAAATAAATTAGCCGACGCACTTTTACGTTTTAATTAAGAAAAAGTTATTAATATATGCTTAAATTTATAAGACTTCTTAACTTTAAAAAACCTTTAAAAGATTAGCATATTGCTTTAAGAAAAAAAGTTACGGAACAATATGCGAAGTTTATCTATTACGGATTAAACCTTGCATTACGAAAAACTTACAACTTTATAAAGAAAGCATATACTTATTAATATAGCTTGAATAGCCTTACTCTTTTCTTCGTATAAAAACGAGCTTTAAAAGAATACTTAACGGCAAAAAGACAAGGCTATAGCATCGATAGAATGCTAGCACGCTGCAAAGCAAAGACTTTGCGCTAATATAAAGCTTATTTACGATCAATCCATATCGATCGAAGCTTAAACGTAAGTGTTTTCGATAGTCTACGGGTCTTACGGATCTTTAACGGAATCAAAAGATGCAATATCGAGATCGAAAAAATCAAAGCAGCCTTTTTACTTGAATTAATAATAAAGAAACTCTTCTTAAAAACTCTAACTTTCTTGTTTTAAACAAAAACAAAGAAACTCTCCGACGAGCAAATTAATAAGCTTAATTAAGAAGCTGCGGCTAAACTAGCATACGGAGGCTAGCTAAAAAGCGAGGAATTCACGTACGATACTTTCGACTTAAAAGACGCAAAAATTTTCGAAGCTATTAAACTTACAAAAAGAGATATCACTTTTAAAGACAACTACGAGCATTTAATCATTCGCTTAAAAAGAAGCAAAACTAACTTTAATAACGATGGTGTAGATATAATTGTAGCGGCAACTAAGGCTATTACGTGTGCTGTAGCGGCCTTACGAGACTTATTCAAATACGACCCTTAACTTTCGAATGCTTTTTGTTTTCGCCGCATTACAAAAGCCTTTATTGTCGGTATATCTATATCGACCTTAGCTAGTAGTAGTAGTAGTTGGGGAGCTCACCCGTGAACCAGGGTTCACGGGCCACTTGGCATGCCTCGCTTAGCATGTTAGCAGTCAAGGGACTCCCAACTTGACAAGTAAACCTATTAGCTAGCTAGTGCACGT